GCTAGCGAGTGGCTCAGCAGTTAAAAGCACTGGCTGGTCTTGCAGAGGACCTGGGTTCAGTGCTCAGCACCCACATGGTGACTAAAAACCCCCAGTAACTCCAGTTCTAAGGGACCAATACCCTCTTCTGACCTCCAAAGGCAATGCACAGCACAAGTGCACTTACATACATGCAGGCAAAACACTCATACACATTAAAAACTTTTTAAATTAAAAAATGAATTGTTTAAAACAGCTAAAAACATTAAAAATTTAAAGGAATTACAAGACTTTAATAGATCTCTTCTAGAAAGAACATCTTCCCAGTTCATGTTATAAGGCCAGAATCAACATGTTATCAAGCCAAGAAGAAGAAAGAAAAAAAAGTCAACACCCCAAATGAACACAGATCCAAAAATCCTCAACAAATGCATCCAGATCTGTAAACTGAGCAACACTCACGACCAAGTTTGGTTAGGAAATTGTGACAAGTGATTTCAAAATTTGAAAATCAGTATAATCCACCACATTAATAGAGATCGAGAGGTGAGATTAACTGATACAGAAATATCATTTGGGAAAATTAACCTTTAATGAAAGAAATTCAGCTAGCTAGAAATTAATCATTAGGAGTTTCAACCTGATAGTGTGTGTTTGGGAAAGATAAAAGACAATGACTCCAAAACCCTAAAGCCAGCTAACACAGGGAAGACCACTTTACTTCACTGCTCTAGCCAGTATAATCAGGAAAAAATAGGGGGCTGGAGAGATGACTCAGAGGTTAAGAGTGCTATCTGCTCTTGCAGAGGACCCAGATTGAGTTCCCAGCACCCACAACCATCCTTAACTCCAGTTCCAGGGACTCCACCGCCCTCTTCTGACCTACATGGGCACTGCATGATGAAGGTATGCAGGCAGTACATTCAATTGATAAAATAAAAATGATAAAATACTTAAAAAACAGTAAGAGATAATAGGCCTAAGAGTAATCTCAGCACAGGGTGGAGGGAGGATAATCAGGAGTTCAAGGTACTCAGCTACACAGTGAGTTTAGGGACAACATAAGCTCCAGGAGATGCTGTTTCCAAAGCAAACAAACACAAAAAGGGTAAAATCAGTGTTTCCATTTATGATTTACCCAGAAAATTCAAGAAAACAAAAACAAACAAAACCCTACAACTACAAACAAGGTGTTTAACAAGATGGCAGAATACAAGGTCAACATAAAGCAAATATACATTGGCCACGTGCAACTAGAATACCAGAATATAACACCACCACCATTTTAAAATGCTCCTGAGGAATGAACACTTAGGAATAAATGTAGCCAAAGTCACAGAAGATCTGTAAACTGAAAACTACACAACACTGACAACTGAAATCAAAGACTAAATGCAGTGATCCTATTCATGGATTGGGAGACTCATGAAATTCTGTTCACATCCCAGCAGAATCTCTCAGACACAGACTAGATGAGTCTTCACTTTATACAGAAAAAAAACCTAAAATAGTCAATGCAGTTTTGAAAAAGAATAAAGTTGAAGGAATCGATAAAGCTAAGGTAATCAAGACAATGTGGTATTGGTGCAAGATGGCCACACAGTTCGATGGAAAAGGGCCCCAAAACACTCACATATAGAACTATCCTTACCCTTTGATTTATTTTTATGTGTACTAGTGTCTTGCCTGCATGTAGGTGCAGCCATGTCCCGCAGTGCCTGCAGAAGCCAGAACAGGGCACTGGAATTTCTGACGGTAGTCATCATGTGGGTACCGAATTCACTGAGACCGAATCTAGGTCCTCTTCCAGAGCAGCCAGTGCTTTTAAACCACTGAGCCAACTCTTTAGTTCCTATAATTGTTTGTTTGTTTGTAGACAGGGTCTTACTCTGCAGCCCAGGATGGCCTGACACACACTATATAGACTAGGCAGTGATCCTCCTGCCTCTGCCTTCCAACTGCTGAGATTATCGGGATGAACCACCTGCCCTGCTACAGGTGATTTTTGACAAAGTGGCAAAGACAATTGACAGGCAGTGTTTTCAACAAAGGATTTAAGTAAGTGGATGTCCACTTGGAAAAAAAAATAATGAACTTCCTCCTAAGCTTCCCAGCTGCCACAAGTCACTAAAACAGGTTAACAAAATTAAACGTAAAACATGAAATCAGCAACTATCTCTTGAGAAAGCCATACCCATACTTGGATAAGTCTTACTCTTCCTCTCTGCATCTCCTCCTAACTCCTGTGTTTAAAATCTATGTTAAACTGACCATGGTGGTGCATACCTTTAATCCCAGCAATCAGGAGGTAGAGTCAGGCAGATCTCTGTGAGTTCAAGGGAAGGCTGGTCTACATAGTGAATTCCAGGCCAGATGGAGCTAAAGAAAGAACCTATCTCAAAAACAAAAGAAACAAACAAAAACCAACAACAAAAAACTGTTAGAAAGATGCTCTGGAGTGCATCTTTCTTTCTGAGTGCCTCTTTTTCTTGTGCTTAAAGTCTTTTATTAAAACATCTTTAATAAAACCTCAAATCTGCTTTAAAAAAAACCCATAAATTCATAAAACTTCTAGACAAAGGACAACAGCTTATGACCAGAGGTTCACATAAGAGTTCTTAGATAAGACACCAAAAGCATGATCCACTAACATGCTTAGACTGAATCAGAAAACCTTAGTGCTTCAAAAGACAGTATCAACAAAGTAAAAATAGGGGCAGGAGATGGCTCAGCAGGTGAGAGCACTTGCTGACCTTGCAGAGGATCTGGGTTCATTTTCTAGAACCCATATCAGGCAGCACACAGCAGCCTTTAACTCCAGTTCTGATGGCCTCTTCTGGCCTCCTCAGGCACTGCATGTATGAGGCACACAGACAGACAAGCTGGCATACATACGTACACATGAAAATAATAAAACCTTTGGTTTTTTTGAGACAAGGTCTTTCTGGCCTGGATTTGCTAATAGAGACCAGGCTGGCCTCAAACTCACAGAGATCCACCTTCCTCTGCCTCCCGAGTGCTGGGATTAAAGGCGTGTGCCACCCCGCCTGGCAATAAAACATTTTTAAAGAAAGTAAAAAAATGAAGGGAGGGGAGGCATGCCTGTATCCCAGCTCTACAGCTAACACAGGAAGATTTCAAGTTCGCAGCCAGCCTGTACATAGCCAGGTGTCTCAAAAAGCAAACAAAAGAAAAAAAATACCCACAGGAGAAATTATGTAAAAATCATGTACCTTATAAAGGACATGTTCCCAGATTACATAAATAATTCTTGGGGCTGGAGAGATGGCTCAGCAGTTAAAAGCACTGGCTGCTCTTGCAAAGGACCCAGGTTCAGTTCCCAGCACCCACATGCTGCTAACAACTGTGACTCCAGTTGTTCTGAACTCCATGGGCATTGCATGACACAGGTGCACTTACACAAGGGCAGGCAATACATTCATACATATAAAAATAAGTATTTTTTAAAAAGAGAATTCTTAAGACACGTTAATTTAAAAATGAGCAAAAGATTTTTTAAAAATTTCTTTAAAAGACAATATACAAATAATGTTCAACCAGCACAAGACTGCTTTCTGGAACTAGCCTTCTCCGCAGTGTAAATCAAAGAAGGCTTTGATGTGGCTCTGCAGACAGAGGTGTCTATCACCAAGCCAGAAGATAGGAGTCTGATCCCTGGGGCCCACATGGTGGAAACAGAGAACTGACCTACACACTCTGTGGCATGTGTGACCCCACTCCCCACTCTCAGATCCTCCCACCACCAAACGAAATGGATAAATGTAAAAATATATGTATTAAAACCCACAAAGACATACCACTTACTATCACTAGAATCAGAAAGCCAGCTAAGAACAAGTATTGCAAAGATGGAGAAAAGCACCCCTGAACACTGCTGTGGGAAAGTAAAATGGTGTAGCTGCTTTGGAAATGCACCTGGCAGTTCTTCAAATGATTAAATCTAAGACTTCATGTCACCTAAATATTCGACTATATAAGAAAACACATAAGCACATTAAAAACTGGTACACAAATGTTTATAGCAGCATTATTCAGCATAGCCAGAATGAATGAACAGAGTGTGATTCAGTTGTATACTGGATTATTATTCGAACATAAAATAAGCAAGGATGAACTTCTAAAACATGTTAAGTCAGAGAATCCAGCAACCAAAGATAACGTTACACCGTGCCATGAGTATTTGAAATGTCTAGAACAAGAAAATCTATGCAACCGAAATAGTGGTGGGCTGGCTGGCTGGGGCTGGGACAGGGAGCCATGATAGCTAAAGAGTACAAGGCTTCTAATTTTAGGAGTGATGAAAATGCTTGAAAATTCACTGTGGTGATGCTGCAAATACTGGGTGTGCTCAATTATATACTCAGAATGGACGAGCCTATGGTATGTCTCAATAACCACTTGTAAAAGGTTCCATATGATTCCATTTACATTCTATATTCTAGGAGACAAAATTAGAGACAAGCTACCAACAGAGATCACGGTTTCTGGAGTTTAAAGGCTGGGAGCAGAGTATGACTACAAAGGTGCAATTCCAGTGTTTCTCAGGTGATCGGACTGTTTCATGGTAAATGATCTGTTCACATAAATCTATGCAAGTATTCCAATTTAAATTATACATTACAAAAAGATAATTTTCACTGTAAGTTTATTCAGATGTCAAAAAGCCAAGAGAACAACAAAAGGCCTCTTCCCCCAAGGATTCATCTTTAAAATCATTAAGGAAATAGGTATCATAAGCAGGCCAGCTGCTACGAATAAAGTGCTGGGGTTTGAGCACAAGGAAGACACCCTGCTCAGCACAGGGTGAGGGAGCCTCACACAGAGGCACTCGTAGGGAGATGACCTACAGCAGGGAGTCAGGACCACTGATGGTAACCAACCTCAGGCCTCTCACTGCTACCAAAGGAGGAAACATAACTGCTTAGCCATCTCTTCAGCCCAACAACCCAGATTCTTTAGAAAAATGCATGACTGTTGAAGTAGAAAAGGGACTGCATAATTCTGGTGTACCTTTGGCCAGACAGTAAGAAACTGCTCAAAAAATGGGAGTCAAAGGACAAAGAAGCCTCCTGGAGTAGTTTTATACCAGATAAATGTACTATTTTAAGCATCAAAGTAATTAATAATCAATTTTTGTCTGTATAAAACAGTAAATAAACTCAAAGTTTGGATAGGAACAAAGAGGTACTTTCTCACGGGGCATGGTGGTACACACCTTTAGTCCCAGCACACAGGAGGCAGGGGCAGGTGGATCTCTGTGAGATCAAGTAAGGCCAACCTCGTCTATAGAGAGTCTAGGCCAGGTGGGGCTACAAGGAGGCCCTGTCTCAAATCCCCTCCATATACATATGGATTTGAACTGCAATTTAATTCTGAACTCATGGTTTTCAACATGCATAAAGATTTAATGTGCCTAAGTCACTAAAATTTAATGATGCCACTGGCTTACAATCAGTGAAATAACTTTGCTTTCTGTCACAACGAAGTGTTAATCTATTCCTGTTGTTGGGGTTTTAACTTTTTCAGTTGACATAATCGCCAAGAAGTATCATATTAACTAAAATTTTTTATTAACTCTCAAGTTGTTCAAAATAGTTTTGTGGATTATTTTTCTTAAAAGTTTTGCCAGTACTGTACAGTCCTTGTTTTATATATACATTTCTCAGAAAATATTTAAAGGGGTATCGTACACGGAAGAAATCTAGCAGAAACTACCTTAACCACTGAGCTAAGTGATACAATCAGCAATAGGGTAAAAGTTACAATTCTTAATTCATGACAATGAATATTCCTGACAATGGTACATGTGAACCTGATCTTGAAAAATAGACAAAATCCTCTGTAATATTCAAAATTGCCAACGTCAAGCCAGGTGTGTTAGTGCACACCTGTAGTCAAAATTACCTGGAAGGCTGAGGCTAGTCCATACCATAACAAGACCCTTCGCAAAAAATGTCCACGATGTAAAAGTCAAGGAAAAAATGGGAACTTTGGTTCCAGACTGAAGTAAACTCCAGTCATCTGACAGATAGATAGGATTTTGTTATTTAAAGACATTATTGCAATTATCAGTTCAACATGGAGTAAGCTCTGAGGGCTGAACAGTAATACATGTCAACATAAATTTTCTGATTTTGAGACTGGACCATTGTTATTAAGAGAATATACTTTTTTGAAGCAAAAAAAGGTAAATGCTGAAGTGACAGAGCATTATGTCCTCAATTTATTAAAAATAGTGAAAGATCTTAAAAATTATACTTTACTTGTAAGCTTTTGATACATTTCACATTAATTTTTTAAGAATTAAAAGAGTGGGGCTGGAGTGATGGCTCAGCAGTTAAGAGCACTAATTGCCTTGCAGAAGAACTGGGTTTAAATCCCAGCACCCACATGGTGGCTTGACAACCGTCCATAACTCCAGTTCCAGGGGATCCGATGTCCTCTTCAGTCCTCCACGGACAATGCACATCATGGATGCACTTACACACATGCAGACATAACACTCATAAAAGTAAATAAATAAAAATTTTAAAAAAGAATTAGACAAAGAATGAAAGAAAATTTCATTAGAAATTAGTGCCTAACTCACTGAAATTTAATGATACCACTGGCTTACAATCAGTGAAATAAATTTGCTTTCTGCCACAACAAAGTGTTAATCTATTCCTGTTGTTACAGTTTTAACTATTTTTCAGTTGACATATTCACCAAGGAGTAACATATTAGCTAAAATTTTTCATTAACTCTTAAGTTGTTCAAAATACTTTTGTGGGTTATTTTTCTTTCTTATAAGTTTTGCCAGTACTTGTACTGTCCTTGTATAAACTGGCATACTTAGACAAAGGGGTACACATTCTTATTTAGAAAAGTTTATTGAACATTATTCCTGAATCACACTTACCAAAAAAAATTAATTTTCCCTGAAGGCAGCCTTTCATTTCGTATGATCTGTATTCCAATGGTTTTTGTAGTAAAAATACAATTAAATATGAAACTAGTAAAAGGTAGCATATAAAATTTCATGGCAAGCAAAATCAAGTCCAAAAAAAGTTATTATATAGCCATAGGACAGTCCTCACACTTCCTATGAAAATCTTATCTGAATGCAATCTTTAAAAGCATATTGGAATACACTTGCAATCTATTAACTGTAGGTATCCATACTTTTCATCCTTCATGGAGTCTGCTGCTTTAAGTTGGCAACATCTGCTACGATCCATAGAAAGAAAGAAAACAAAAAAGAGCAGTCATTTCTCAAGGTTTGAGAAATCTGGTCCACCTTTTGTATAGTTTCCTGAGATTTCTGCTCCACTGAAGTCAAAACCAGGATTCTGAAAAATATAAATAAATATACAAGGAGAAAAAAACATTGAATTCACAACTTGACAAAAAAAAGGAGCTCTAAATGGCCCCAAAACATATAAAAAGATACCAAACTTGACTGTAATCACAAAAATGAAATTTAAAACTTTCGGAAAGTCTGTATGTATATTACAATGCTTGTAACTATACTGTGAACATATATTTCAATTTCAGTATCTGTATGAATAGATTTTAATAGCGTTCTCTTATTGGTTGATGGTGCTGTAGATTGTACTCAGGACCTCCTTCATGTTGGGTAAGTACTCTATACTGAGTTATACTCTGGCCCTTTTAAAAATTTAATTATTTTTTTTCTGAGACATGGGCTCAGTAGTTGCTTAGACTGGCCTTGGACTTGCAGTTCTCTTGCATTACCCTCCCAACTAGCTGGAATTAAAGGCAAGTGCCACCATGCCCAGCTGAGGGCTAGCTTTTTCTGAGAGCTTACTATATGCTATACAGAACTCTAAGAGCTATGTGCATATTAACATATTAATATACATTACAATATACTAGAAGCTTTAATCTTTTCGGTGGGTAATTTCAAGTGTTTAATGAGTATTTACCAAGCTCCTACCATTTGGAATATAATATTAAATGCATGTGGATTTCAAAAGGCAATGAAAATCTCTGTTCTAGAGGAGCTTACCCTGTAGCAGGAAGACACAAACAGTAAACCCTAGAGTACTGAGTGGAGAGCTTCGTAAGCCTTAGTCATGCAAAGTGAGGTAGTAACTATGAGCAGACTACATAATCTGTCACAAATACTCAACTATATGAACTGCTATATAAAGATAATGTGCAAATGAATGAACACAGACATGTCTCTGTAAAACTTTTTTATGTGCATGTTTTGCCTGCACCACATGCATGCAGTGCTGGCAGAGGCCAGAAGAAGGCATCAGACTCCTTAGAACTGGAGTTACAGAAGGTTGTTAGCTGCCATGTGTACACCGGGACCAAACCTGTGTCCTCTGTCCTCTGCAAGAGTGGCCAGTGCTCTTAACCACTACACCACCTCTCTAGTCCCTCTCTGTAAAACTTTACCTGCAAAAACAGGCAGCAGACTAAATTTCCACAAGTGATATTTTTTCCAAACACTGATTTTAGCCTGTTAAAAGCTATTAAGTGCTGAGGCTGGAGAGAAAAGTGCACTTGCCTTGCATTTTCTCAAGATTTTGCTAATTGCTACTTTAAGAAGACTATACTTGGGCAAAAACAGAATCAAGAAGGCAAGCTAGGAAGCTGCTCAAGTAATCCAGGCAAGACACTGACATAATCCAGATAAGAGCAGAGCTGGCAGTGAGAAGTACTCAAATTCTGAATATAACATAACGACAATGCTAATAAGATTTCTGAAGAGAGTTATCAGTAATGTTACCATACACACTTTTTTGCACACCTTTGTATATGTGGTGTACATGCATGGATGCTCTGTGTGTGGGGGGGGGGCACTAAGTTGATGTCAGGTTCTTCCTTGATTGCTTTCCACTTTATTTACTGAAGCAGGGTCTCTCATTAAACCCAAAGCTCTCTGGTTCAAGGTGGTCTTGCTATCCAGCTTTCTCCATGGATCTGCGGCCTCTACCTCCTGAGTACTGGGATTAAAAGTAGCCACTGTACCTGCCCAGGCTTTACATGGGTTCCAGGGCTCCTCAAGTCCACCTCAGGTCCTCATATCTGCACAGCAAGTGCTTATGCATGGAGCCAGATCCTGAGCACCACCACCTCACTTTTGAAATAAACATAAACAACTAGCTTCTACTAACATGAAAAGTAGAACAAATTTTAGGAAGAAATTAGTGTGTTCAATTTGGACATGCAGAGTTTGACAAATGGAGATGATAAGTAACTGGACATGCAGGTCCAAAATTCCAAAGTCTAAATTACAGACATATACTTGGAACTGACAATATGAATGGAAATCATCCACTAATATGTTACACATCCTCTCCCAGATATCTATGTTGGAACATTTGAGTAATTTCAGATATCAGCATACAAGTTTTATTTAAAATAGAGAAAAAAAGAGAATCAAGGTAATATGAAAGGGAAATAGCTAAATAGTTACTGTATACACAAATGAGAAAACTGAAGCAGTTAGAAGGAACGAGTTTTAGTACGTACCATTAGGGAAACAGACCACGATATGCTATTAAATTAAAAGCTATGACGAGGGATCTGAAGAGATGGCTTAGTGGTTAAAAGCACTTGCTGCTCTAGCAAAGGCCCTGGCTTCAGATTCCACCACCCACACGGTAGCTAACAACTAAACACACATGGTGCACTTACCTACATACAGGCAAAATACTCATTAAGTAAAAATAAATACAATTTAAAAACAAACAGGCACAATGAGAGGCTGGAGCCGTGACCCAGCAGTTAAGTACACTGGCTGTTCTTGCGAAGGATCCAGGTTTGGTCCCCAGCACCTACATGATGGCTAACTACCATCCTTAACTCCAGTTCCAGTGGATCCAACACCCTCTTCTGGCCTCTGTGGGCACTGCACACATATGGTGCACTTACACACATGGAGGCAAAACATTTATCCACATAAAAAAAATTTTAAAGGCACCATGAAGACAATAAGCACAGTATGAACCTCCATCTATATTAAAAATAAAACAACAAAAAGGCCAATAATGAGAACTGAGATGGAGGCATGGAAGGGGGGATGACAGTGAAGGCACTGTTCATGTTTTTAAGCTATGTTCACTATACTGATTCCATTTTCCATGTTTATTATTCATGAATTACTAATGTACACTAAGCAAACTTAAACTCAAATATCCTAACAATATATTTTGTGAAAATTTAAGACCCACAATTTCCTAGCCATTTACTTTAAAAATTCACTCAAAGAATGCTTATAAATTGTGAAAATCATCTTATATGTTTTAATTTCTAATAGTTATTCTAGGATTCTGGATTACTGAACTGCACATATTCATGCATGCATCTGCCTTACTTCTTTCTGGAATCTCTCTAATGTAAGCTTTCTCTGCATTTGATCTTGTACCCAGGGATCTGCTGCATATTCAGATTCTAGAAGTGAAGTCCAACAGTTTGCTGCATCTCTCTTGGTCTTTGTAAGAACAATGCGGACCATTTTTCTATCCTCTGAAATAAAAAATAAAAAAGAAGTTACATAGAAAATAGAGTTCATCATTAAACTTCTTATTTTTCAAACATCTTTAGGTAATTTTGATATACAATTGTTTTCTACATTTTCCTGTATCTCTCATGGCTACAAAGACAAATGGGCTCAAAACACACATAGAAATGAGACCAAGTTCCAACTGCAAAAACAATCGAATTATAATAGGTTGTTCTTACCCAAAGTCCACGTCCCCTCATCAGCTATTGTAGAATCAAACAATTTTCCCTGAAAAATAAATACAAGGTGCTAAAAATATAGCATTTGATTAGATTTTATAAAAATTTTTCATGATTAAGACTTTGCTAATTTCATCCTACAGCACATCTTATACCACTTTACCCAATTTATAAGTGCTCAACCTTAAATTTTCTCCTAGTCAGTAAAATGGAATCCACTTTGTTACAACTTTTATGGTTTTGGGGTTTTTTTTTTTTTGCTTTTGAGAAAGGATCTCCTTGTAGCTCCAGCTGGCCTGGAACTCACTATGTAGACCAGGCTGGCCTCAATCTCAGAGGGATCCACCTGCTTCTGCTTTCTGAATGCTGGTATTGTAGGTATTTGCCACCATGCCCAACAAAACAAAGTATCTTTCTAAATATTCATAGTAGTGAAAAAAAAATAATCCCATTGGTGTATATGAATATTTAAAATCCCAGTTACTGATAAATTTACAAAAGTCAAGGGGATTTCTTTAGTAAATTTCAGTAGTAATCTTTGCAAGTGTTCCACCACTGAGCTACATCCTCTTGAACTGTAGTCTTAATTCACGATTCAGGAAATCATGAAAAGCAGACATAAACGAGTGTCATTCATATGAACTCCTGAGGCACTCCAAGCATTTCTATATAGAATAGCAGCTAACATTAGTGTGAGCTTACAACATAACAGGATACCTCGTTCCTCCGAAAACAATCCCTTCTGTAAGAAAGGTAACAATCACACCTTGGAGGTCAATGAACCTTCAGTCACTGAATAACCTCTTGCCCACGGTTACAAAACCGTCAGAGCCATATCCTTACCATGTACCCCTCCACTTCTACACTAAATGGCCATCAAAGAAGCTGGGCATCTAATGAGAGAACGAATATAATCTCAGATTAAGTGAATTTTAATGTATGCTCAACAAGAACAGGCAGGGAGAGCTAAGGTCAATGGTGAAAACAAACAAAAGGGCACTATTATTTTCTTCATATATCTATTTATTATTTGCTTGACCACAGGCATGTAAGAAGCTTCTCATTTAGATGAGAAAATAAATGACGTCATCTACGAAGCTTCACCCAGCTACCGTACTCTTTGTTGTATTTTCCTGTACATGCCTACGTAGTGTCTCTTGACCTAGATCTGTCTAGAAGAATGCCTACGTATGATGCATGTGTTCTGACAAGCTAACATGCGGAGGAACCCCGGAGTCATCAGCAGAAGGCAGCCTGGTCTGTTTTAGAAGCAGAAGAGATCTACACATTTTCCCAGCTCAAGTTATGTTCAGGGGATGCTGCGATGAGACAGAGCCACGCCACATCAACTGACCGGCTTCTTCCAGCCTGCAGCAGCCGCTAGGGACCCTACCACACACCCCACTGAAATTAGGAATCAGAGGACTTGGGAGCCGGGCGGTTGGGGAGAAGGAACTCGGCGCAAGCCCAGATCGCTACCTTGAGGATCTCGCGGCCACCCACGGCCAGAGCCACGTGGCGGCTCTGCAGGCCGCACTGGATGTCCTGCGCGCGCGTACCGGGGGGCACCTGAACTTCAATGAACACCTCCTCCAGGGTCTGGTACCACTGGCCCCACGGCGTCCCGCACGGGACCACCCCACTGCGTTCCTCAAACGGGGCAGACATACTCTACTTGCCACCCACGGCCAGCCGCAGCGACCGAGCCGTGCGCATGCGCCGCGCTCCGGTTACGCGCTGGCCCGTTTCGGGTCGTACGCATGTGCAAGAGGCCAATTCGGCGTCTGCGGCGGCTCGTTTTCCCTTTCGGAGCCCATTTAGGATACTGACAAAAGTCGGTCTGAAAGAACTAAAACCCAGGAAAGGTGACGCCTAAAGAACAAAGGGAGAACGCTGGTGGGACAAAGGGAGAACGCTGGTGGGACGAGCTCGCTACCCTTTAACCTGTGTGACGCCAAAATACCGACGCTCTAACGCGGTACCTGAGAAGTGCGCTTGCGCAAGTGCTGAGGCCCTCAGAGTACAGTTGAGTAATGCCACACATGATTGGACGGAGAAGTAGCAGCGAACAGTAACCATCTCTGATTGGCTAGTAGTCTAAAGGTACAGGCCATCTGATTGGCCGCTGTAGAAATCGAGTGCGCATGCCCCTCGGCTGTTCCCCTCAAGATTGGTCGGCCGGGTTTGAGTTTCCTGATTGGCTGACGTGGGGAGAGCCGGGCAGGTGCGGGTATATTTGAATTCGGTAGGGGAGTAGGCAGTTGCTGGGGATCTGGTGTGGTCCCATCTGGAGCCGGTTGTCAGAATGTCTTTTCCTAAGGCGCCCCTGAAAAGATTCAATGACCCTTCCGGTGCGTACGGGTGCAGAGCAGGGGGCCAGGGCAGGCGCCCCAGGCCGTTTGAGGGTGGGGTGGTTTGTTGTTTTCAAAATATGTGCCAAGTAAACGCACGGCTAGCTCTGTTCAGGATGGTAGGGATGCAGCTGCGAGTGAAATACAGCCCCTTGCCGGCACAACTTCCTCCAAGCGGGGATTCTACCAATAAGCCATCAGCTGATGGAGAAACTAAAGCTGGTTGAAGAAGATGAGGAGCAGGCATCCTTATCGATTGGACATTTAGTCCAGGAACGGCCTCATCTACTGAAAAATTGTTACTTTTAGGGAGAATTTCTGAATATATATAATTATATATATTATATATATTGGCGGGGGGCGTATTCCACTCAGATGTAAAAGAAGGAAGATTGAGAAGTCAGTTAAATAATTACAGCTAATATTGACGACTTATCCTGTGACCCACGTAATATGCTATCAATGTTCGTATTCATCAGGTATTAGAATTTTTTTTCTCACCCACCAAATGATCCAGAGGTACCATTCGGTATTTTAGTAATAAAAATACTGGAACTTAGTGTACAGATGGTGCAGTAAGTTGAGTACAGATGACAGTAATGAACTATGTATTCCAAAAAGTTAGAATAAAGGCGCTTTGGATGTTTTCAACATTAAGAAATAAATGTTGGCAGGCCTAGTGGCCTGATCTGCATAACAAGACTCTATCAGCGACCTCCCCCAACAAATAAATACATAATATTTTTTAAGGCAAAAGAAAAATAACAGACTGAAATATTACAAAATCAAATTGACAGAACTAGGGTGTGAACCCAGGCTTGGCTGAATCTACCCTGTTCTCTTAACCACTGTAGTGTATAAACACAGTAGCCAGGAAGTCTTAGGTATAATTTGATCAATGCTAACTCTGCAACTGATGTTCTGAGATCTGCAACTTATTTCTTCAGACAGGCAGATGAGCAAGGTACTGATATTGTACTCTTTACAGTTGAGAAAATTGCGAGGTATGGTGATGCATGCCTTTAATCCAGCATTCAGGAGGCAGAAACAGATTGATCTCTGTTGAGTTTGAGGCCAGGCTGGTCTGCAAAGCAAGTTCCAAGTCAATCAGGGCTACATAGTGAGACCCTGTCTCAAGAAAAGAGAAAATTGAAGGGGGTTCTGACTGTGGAACAGCCAGCCAGTAAGTGATTGAGCATAATGTCAAAGGCCATGATACATCCATTATACCATATACTGTTTAATGTCACTGCATATGCGATTTCATGGGGACCAGGCTGGCCTTGAACTCTTGCTTCTTCTGCTGCCTCCTCCCAAACACTGGGATTTACAGGCCTGTGCCAGCATACATAAGCTCAGCAGTGCGGTTTGGCTTGAAGGAGTAATAGTTTAGGTTCACGGTGTGAAGAATAGTAACATTTACAGGATACTTAGTGTGTGTGAATTACTGGCAGTTTCTCAGATTCCAGTAAACATCAAAACTAGAATAATTTTTCAGGAAATGAAAGTTCAGGGAAAAGGAAGGAGTGAAATGTTCTTATTCACTGTGTGCCCCCTATGTCACAAATATCTAGCACAGTATTTTCAGTCGATTGTCAGAAATACTGTAGATACTTTGTAGACATAGGGAGCACACAGTGGATAAGAACATTACACACAGCTGAATTTGAACCCTCATCTAGCTGATTATAAAAGCCTAGTCCATTTCTATATCCCAAACATACGCTTGTTATCCATACTGCTAAACAGATTCCTGAGCTAAATACTAGGGCAGTAGACCTGAAGCTTCTGCTATCTTCAAGCATTTTGCCTAATATGGAGACAGAGTAAATAAACCCTTACAAAAATGGACAAGTTCTTTTATAGGAAAAATACAAGGTATTTGGAGGGAATTTTCTAGTCTGATTTGAGGATTCAGCAAAAATAAATGATATCCAGGTTGAGATCTGCAAAGTAGAGTAGAGTTAGCAGAAAAAAAATGGAAAGTGAGCTGTCAATTCTAATGGCAAAGTAGAGAATAATGAAGGTTGTAAGTTTGAAGGGTTTGTTTAATGTTAGTACATAGATAAATACATACAGATTCTGGCTGGCTGCGGTAGCTTTGAGTCATTGATGAATTATATAAATTGTTCCAGAAAGCTTATCATTATCTCCACAAATATACCATGATGCCTTTTATTTAATAGTGTCTTCCCTGGTCTAGTTCACCCCAATCACATCTGTCTTTCCCCTCCCCACTCCAGGGTTCCGCTATGAAACTGAGGCTCACCTAGAACTCACTTTGTATTCTAGGCTGGTCTAAATTCATGATCCTCACATTTCAGCCACCAGCATGCTGAGATTAATATACCATGATGCCCAGCTCACTGTCCCTTTTTTCTGGCTCTTTGTCCTCTTTGAAAGTATGGGCCAGGTGATGGATTAGAATACTAGAATTCAGCATGTTTGAAGAGTTTTAGTTGGCATTGTGTATCCACCCCCCCTACACACACACACACACACACACACACACACACACACACACACACCTGTTTTCCACATCTAAAGCAGTACACCTACTGCTTTTCCACAGAAGCATCTCTAGTAGAAGAGAGCAAAGGAGAATAAGCCCATCTCTACTTCCTGAAAAAGGGCTAACCACAAGTAGGTGTAGCAGTTTTAGTTGTTTCACCTTAAAGTACTGTATGCATAAATGATCCAAGATATAATTTTTTTAAAAAATATTATTTTTATCTTATGTATATTTGTGTATTGCCTACATGTAGGTGAGTGCACCCATGTTGTGCAATGCTGCGGAGGTCAGAAGAGGGTTTCGGATTCCCCTGGAACTGGAGTTAAGAACAGTTCTTAGCCACCATGTGGGTGCTGGGAATTGAACCCGGGTCCTCTGCAAGAGCAGTCAGTGCTCTTAACCACTGAGCCATCTCTCCAGCACCCCAAGATGTAATTTTAAGGAACCTCTGTCCCTCACTCTTTATCCCAGGGTGAAAACATTTTTTTAAATTTGTTTTTATTGAATTTTTGCATATTTCATACAGAACATCTCAAGCAATCTTAATCATCTTTATACCCCCGTTCCCACTGGCACCCTCCCATAGCTCCCCCACTGAAGCCCATATACTCTGTCAACCCTGTTAAGGCCGACAGTGTCCCCAGTGTTCCCCAGTGCAAGTCCATCCACTGAGGTCTAATCAGCCTATGGTGGAAACATTTTGTGAAGTATGGGACATCAGAACTAGTCAAGACTATGGCAAGGTCTGCTTTACCTAGACCATTGGATTCTACATTTCATTTTGAGACTGTCCTTATATTAAATCTGCTACCTCCGTATTTTATTGGCCACATTTAGATCTGAAAGGTCCTAGAATTGGAATCTTTGTGTCAGTACATAGTGTCATTGTTTCAGATAGAGGAACTGAATAGAATATTTTAGCTGTAGAGAATTTATTCTGTCAGGCATTGTGACCTTTACTTATGCTTATTCATTTCTTCTTGCAAAGATGCCTGAGCATTCAATTAGTATTTCTACTTCTATATAATGAGACCAGCATTCAGTGAGGTTAAGTGACTTCTAAGGTAATCCAGCAAGTGGTGGAATTTGGGGCTATTCAGGTACTAAGCTCTTTTTAATTTTAATTTTGTGGTCTTTTGAAACAGGATCTTACTGTGTATCCAGGTGGGCCTTGAACTTAGTACATAGTTCAGGCTCCCTGGAACTATCTTCTTCCTTCTGTTTCCCAAGTGCTAGGATTATAGCTGTGTACTACCATGCCCAGATATTTCAAGATTTTTACAGTTTGTTTATTATTCATTTGCAGCACAGTCTTATGTATCCCCAGCTAACATCAAACTTACTGTGTTTTTAACTTCATATCATAAATATTCATTATTAGACTGGAAATAATGATTAATAGTAGTAATTACTGCTAATAGTAGTAATAAAAGATAAATGACACTAAGTGATATGTTACTATTCTATGTTTTCTCTAGGTTGTGCTCCATCTCCAGGTGCTTATGATGTTAAAACTTCCGAAGCATCTAAAGGACCGGTTTCTTTTCAGAAATCACAGCGATTTAAAAACCAAAGAGGTACTGAATGGTTCCTCAAATTAGTAAGGGTTATATGATCTTTCAGCTTTTAACATTTAAAAAAATATTTTATTATTTTTATTTTATGTGTATGAGTGTATTGCCTGCATGT